GCTGCGTGCCCGCGACGGACGAAGGCGGCGTGGGCGTTGGCACGGCCGGGTACCAATGCCAGTGCCCGCCCGGGTACGAACTGGGCCCCGACGGCCACCTCTGCCACGACCTGGACGAGTGCGCCGCCGAAGCGCCGTGCGAGCACCAGTGCGAGAACACCGAGGGCTCCTTCCTCTGCCGGTGCCACCTGGGCTTCAGCCCCTCGGAGGAGGAGCCCGGCCAGTGCGCCGACACCGACGAGTGCCAGTTCCCCGGCGTCTGCCAGCAGATGTGCGTCAACTACGTGGGCGGCTTCGAGTGCTACTGCACCGAGGGTTACGAGCTGGACGCCGACGGCATCAGCTGCGTCCTGGTGGCCCAGCTGCCCCCGCTGGCCACGGCCGAGGGCTACCGGCCCTACGAGAGCGGCCACGGGTGGCCCCCGCAGCACGACGGGTCGGCCCTCTCGGACCGTTTCCCGGTTTTCCAGGATATCCGGGTCGGCTCTCCGGAGCTAGAGGCGCCCTCCTCGTTCCTCCCGGACCCTCGGGTCGTGCCCCGCATGGTGCCGGAGGACACGGAACCCCCCGACGTGAGCGCCACCCCCCGGGATTCGGTCCCCCTTTTGAGGCATCCGGATCCCGCCACCCTGGATCGCCACGAGACCCCCGATCCGACCTCTGCGGCCACTGGGACTCCCCCTGGTCCTGCTACCGGCTTTGCGCCGTCCTCCCCCAAAATGGCCCTCCGAGACCCCCAAACGCCCGACACCCCCCTTGCTCCCGCCACGACCCGGCCCGCACCCCGACCGGACCTGACCTCTTTCCCCGAGGTCGGCGGTGGGGCGGTGGTCTGGGGTGTCAGGGCCGCGTCCCCCACTTTCACCACCCCGAGTCAGACTCTGCAGGGGGACAGCGGGCAGAGGAAGAGAGATGACCGCTGGCTGCTGGTGGCCTTGCTGGTACCCATCTGCGTCTTCGTGGTCATCATGCTGGCGCTGGGCATCGTCTACTGCACCCGTTGCGGGGCCCAGGCCAAGGCGCGGAGCGTCACGCAGTGCTATCGCTGGGTGATCAGCTCGGCCGGCAAGGGGGCCGCGCCGCCGTCCAGGCCGGGCCCTGATAATTAAATAAACATTAAGTAGTTACAGTCAGTCACATCATTTGTTTCAAATAGATTACTTAATCAAAACCTATGATTTCATGTGGGTTAAAATGTTTAGCTTTTTTGTTATTGTTTGTTTATTTAAGATTATAGACATTCTGTGTAAGGCATGATTAAACCTGGCTTGTTGGGCTATTTGAACTTTACATTTGGTGTGTTCCCTATTGCAGTGTTTTCAGGCTTCCTATTTTTAGAGTTAACATTTTGTCTCAAATGTGTTGCAACCTGCCCAGAGCCTTTGAGCCAGGGTGCAACAAAAATTCCCCGAATACACCCGTGTCTTGTTGCGACCTTAAAGGTTAGCCTGCATAAAGGTGATGAGTTTGGCTTTTGAAGCCTCTTGCTGCTATCAATGGTTATGAAGCAATTCCCTCTTACTATCATTAAAAGATTTTCCACTCTCCATATTGAGAAACAATGGAAGACAATGGGAAACAGTGGGAGAGTTACAAATGGAAGATGACATCATCTGCTTCCCTATGTGTAAAATTCCTCAGAGTGATTGCGCTGGAAGCTACCTAGACAAACTCAATTGGTGGCTGTTCCCAGTTTGAAAAAGCTGTTTAGAAAAAAATGTTTAGGACTGCAAGTCTCCGAATGCCCCAGCCAGCATGGCCAATGGCTCTAGTATTTCCTTAGTGGACAGAAGTTCTAGCCATTAGCAAATAGCATAATAGACCCAGAGTCTATGGAGAATGGCTCATGGTTGGATTCCAAAAGACCTCCTGTATGGAGAATTGGTGCAGGGAAATCGCCCCAGGGGGAGACCACAGCTGCGATACAAGGATATCTGCAAGCAGGATCTGAAGGCCTTAGGAATGGACCTCAACAGATGGGAAATCCTGACATCTGAGCATTCAGCCTGAAGGCAGGTGGTACAGCAGGGCCTTTCCCAATTTGAAGAGGCACTTGTTCAGCAGGCCAAGGCAAAGAGGCAGACTCAAACCCAGCAAAATCAGGAAGCTGGACACGGGACAGATTGTATTTGTCTTCAGTGTGGAAGGGACTGTCACTCGTGAATTGGCCTTTTCAGCCACACTAGATGCTGTTCCAAGTCTTTTATTTAGAGCACGTTAGCATAATCTAACATGACAGTGTTAATATGAGGGTTTTTTTGACAAGAGAACAAGGATTTCTGCAGTGGCCAGGATCCAACCATGGCATGTCACTACTTCTGCTGGCCTCTCTTCCTTCTGTTTTCTTCCTCAGCACATCCTAAAATCCTGGACAGGAACTAGAAACCCCACAGACGGATCAGGAGTTCAGGCCCCACAAAAACCTGCAATATGAGGAGGAGGAGAAAGGGAAGGAAAGTCTCAATTTATACCACAGCCCAATACATTTTTAGGAAGAAGTCTTTGGTCAGTCAAGCTGGCTATCAGGTGAGTTTGTATAAGTTTGCTCCCAGGTGGAAGTCTCCTCACATGAGCTGACAAAAGGTATTGTGAAAGTCTTCTGTCTTTTCCTCCTTAACATATTTTTCTTCTAAGAATAAAGCCAGGAGAAGAAAAAACTCTGAAAGCTTACAAGCGGAGGGTGTCACCTTCCCACTCCAGTGAAATTCTGTGAAGAAAGCAGGGTGATTGCACAATAAAAACACTGCCTAGAAACACTCTTAAACTATATTTCAGGCTGTGACTACACAAGAGATGCCCACCAGTCGCATCTCTCTCTCTCTCTCTCTTCCTGGCCATAAAAAAAGCAATAACAGCAGCCATCGATGAAATAACGGTTTCCCATCCTTTCCTGCCGCCTCGAATTTGAAGCCTGAAGCTTTGCTTTGGTGGCTGATAAGGGCTTTCTGAGGTTTTTGGTGATTTCCCCCCACCCCCTTATCCCTGCGGAGCAGCGGTCACCGGGAGAGTTGGGGAAAACCATGTTTGGAACTCTTTGCTAGACCTCCTTGAGGACTAGCGGGCTGAAGCATCCTAAGAGCAGAGAACAAAAGATTTTGGTTTTTTTAAATTTCTGCTCTGGAAAAGAAATCGCCCTTTTCTGGGACAGAAAAAAGATGATTATCCTTCTCGGCCAAATCCCTATAATTTTAAGATAATTACAGAACTGGGTTCCCGGAAACGCCAAACGCGGGTACACCCGGCTCCCTCCTCCAGCGGCCCCGTCTGTAGCCCTTGAGCTCAAAAGGCCGCCGATGCCATCTTGAGGCCACCTTTGATCCCGCCCGGCAGGATCTGGCGTGGAAGAGCTGATGATGGCGGTGGGAACAGGATTCAACAAGGAAAGGATGTGCTCCAGAACGGGGAAAGAACACGGGATTTGGTGAGGGTCTGCTTCAGCCGGGCACATTTTGTAGAGGGGTAGTCTCTTTAAAAGGACAGTATGGGGGGAAAAAACGACAAAACCAAACCCAGGCTTCTTCGTAGCCGCCTGGGAGGTTAGGCGTCGGAGCAGAGGAGAATCTGTCTTCCTCGTAAGCGAAGAACAGGCACTCTGTCCATGCTTCGGGCAGTCTCTCCATTCTGTTCCAGAGCTAAGCGTAGTCTCCAGAATGGGTTCTGGGGCTCAGGATGAGCCCCCACGGATGGCTGAAGGGCTGAGTGTTGAATGGGAGTTGGGTTTCTGCATGGGGCCCAAGCTGAATATGAAGAAATCAGCTTTTTTCCCACTTTAATAAGCCCACTGGACCCCCACTGCTTTTTAAATCCCAGATTCGGGGCCCGTTTCCACGGCCCTTCGTGACTCAGCCCGACCTTACTTCTGGCCCTGGTTTGCATCCATGGGTGTGGTAGTGCTCTGACGGAGGGGGAGCCGGGGAGGAAGGAAGGGGTAGGGGGGCAAATCCCCAAAATGTTAACCCTTTGCGGCTCACGGGAGGAGAAGAGCGAAGAGTTTGAAGCGTGTGACACAATTAAGGGGAAAGGAGTTTGCTGGGTTTCGAAGACTTGTGGGGGGGGAGAAGAGAGACTGGCTGCATTTTCATAATTTGGGGAAACGAATTCATTTCCCGGACCCCCCCTTTTGGCCTTTCTACTAAATGTTTGCCTCTATTCCAGACCGAACCGACGTCCCCCCACCCCATTCCCAGGGGAATTAAAAATCCAAGCAAAGACGGATGGATTGGAGGTTGGGGATGATGGGGTCAGGGCAGGATCCCGGGAGGAGAAATTTTGATTTTCCTTTCTTCCTCTCCAGCAGCCCGGCCTCGTGTGGTTCCACGGATTCTGGCACCGAGAAGGTTAATCCCCAACTTTTGGAATCTGTGTTTGCTGGCAGGGTTTAATAAGAAACAGATGGGCCCGGAAAATCCTGAACGGGGTTAGACCACCCTTTTCCCCATCAACCCCCCACTCCAGGACCACCCCCACCTTCCACATACTTCAGGCTCAGCATTTACAGGGCCAAACGAGCGGTCCTCCCCCATTTCTTCATTAGTCAGTCCATTTTTTTCCTGATAGGGGGCAGCAGCTTAACGGGCCGAAACCCAACAGGTAGATTTGCCTCCTTGCATCTTCCTAGAGGGGAGGATGACGGGCTAAGATGAGAGATTTGTAAAACCTGAAATCTTAGGGAGGTTCCCTTCGTTAATCTTTTCGGCTTCGTCGTCTTGCATTTCTGCTAGCCGCGGTGGTCCAGAAGGATTCGTGGCAATTATAGTGGATTTCTGGATTTCTAGGGAAAAGCAGAGAGAGAGAGAGAAAGACAGCATGGAAATCCATTTTGCAATCCTGTAATACCCCTTCTAAAACTGAAGCGAAAACATTTCAAAGATCGATGTGAAAAATGCTCGTTAGGATCAACGCCAACGCTCACCAAGTAATGCATAAGCTTTCTTATCTGAGCTTATTCAACCAACAACATGGTGCTGATCCGGTTTCTCCCCTTATTCTGTAACAGAGTATTGAAACAAGGAAAAGTCTTGACAGAAAGAGATCAGAGAAGAGAGTGATTAATTTTTGTTGGGTTCAGCCCCTACCACCCTTCTTTCCTCTCACCTTCCCCTTGATTTTCCTTATTTATTTATTGCAATATTATTGATCGCTCTTCCTACCTTAAGGCCTGCGTACCTTAAGTACATTTCACTGGGGGAAAACCACAGAGGTCCCGTATTTTTCTGTGTATAAGACGCCCCCATGTATAAGACACCCTCCACTTTTCTAACCCAAAATTAAGAAATCTAAGTGGGGCTTAGCAAGTGTAGAGGGAAAGGGATCAAAGCGCTGCAGGATCGCTTTGATCCCTGCTTTCCCTTCCACTTGTTTTTGTTCTCTCCTCAGCTTACTTCCGTGTATAAGACGACCCTCAATTTTTTTAGTCTAAAATTTTTAGACAAAAGCATAGTCTTATACGCGGAAACAATACGAGTATCTCCATCAGGGGACCACTGCTTACAAAGGAGCATGCCACAAGCAAATCTCGGGCATGGACTCCCAGCGCAGAGAGCCACGGTCCCTTGGCTGATGGGAACTGTAGTCCCGCAACATCTGAAAACCCACTTTCTCCCCACTTCTGCCCTTATCAGAGAGCGGGAGGATGCTGACTTACCCCAGACCGGACTGCTGGCAGCTCCAGACCAGCTGCCAGCAGGATCTGCTTCAGGTGGAGAAGTGAGGCAGAGAAGATGTGTTTCCATAACTTTGCTTCCTGGTGCTTTTTACCTGATGGCATTTGGGGCTTCTGACATGCGAAGGATGGTCTCTTCCTACCATTTTTGGGGGGAGCCCCCTCCCACCTATGGGTCACATCCCTGAGCCGCCCGAACGAGCTACCGAGCTTCTATAAGGTTCAGGCATGGGTCTGATCTACTTACATATATACATACAATAATTGAGTTGGAAGGGCTGATAAGCCCATTGAGTCTGACCCCCAAATGTCAGCACAACCCCCAGGATTTAGGCTCCCTCAGATCTCAACAAGACCCCTGTAGCTAACGCGAGGATCCAAATCAAAGCAGATCGGACAGAGGGTGGTCCGATCTTCTCTTCAAAGCTTCGTACGGCTCTAACGGTT